GTTCAAAGTTACTAGCCCTTCTTCAAGTTACCACCCCGTTGTGAGCCCCCAGAACTGGTTGTATGAATGCTCTCACTCTGTTCCAGTGCAAAGTTAGAAAGATTAGCTCAAATTACCTTGGCTAAGCCAACGAGCTTCACAGTGAGAGCTCACACATCAAGAACCACATCTCAAATGTGGGGTGACTATCTCCAGTGCAGGGCCTTAACTGAGAGCTGCTCCAGCTGGAATCACAACAGAATTCCATATATTCCTTTAGTTCAGCTATTACCCATCTTGCTCTAAAATAATTACTCAGACCAAAGGAAGTAACAGTTCCTTGCTCTTACTTAAGAGCAATAGTTTACTTGTTATAAAAGAGTCAGAGGTTTCAAGCCAGAGACAGTCACTCAAGGTTCAAGTTAAAATTGTTCTTATCAGCCTTCCTGCCTACAGTTAAACTGCTAATTCACCCACATGCTCCCCAGATAATTTCAACTTCTCCAGGGGTAGGCAGATGTGCTCACACAGGTGCAGATGTGCATTTCCCCACCACTGCCCACAAGCAGGAACACTCAGAGGCTGCAGAAATCACACACACAGAATGACACAGAATACTGAGTTGGAAGGAACCCACAAGAGCATCAAGTCCAACTCTTAAGTGAACAGCACTGACATGTGAGTATACACTGTGACCAGGGGAGAACACTGAGCACAAGACTTTTCAAAACATTTCAAAACATTTCCTCTCACAGATATTCCAGACTTTAATTTAAACCACTATGAACAAGTGAAAACGGCGAAGTCCAAAACATTTGGTTTTGCTCTCGAGAGCAGAAAAACAGAGGAAGTTCTGGCTGCCAGACCAAGGGGGTTAGTGAGCGGGATAGAGTGGAAAAGGAAGCAATTTGAATTTGTCTTAAAACAGTAAATTGGTTTTAGGAGGGAGTAACTGGGAAATGACAGGAGGAAGATACCCTTCCCCTCATATTAAGGCATGTCTAAGAGTTTGAAAAGTTATGTCACTAATTCTGTGGTTGTTGAGCAAAAGCTATCCTGCACTTCTCTCTCCCACATCCTTTAAACAAAGCAAGAAAAGGTTTCTTCTCTGTGAAACCCTCATACTTACTGCACTTACTGCAAAAGAAGGTTACCTGCAAACACTTGGAAAACGCAGTCTATTTTTAAAGTACCTAAACAAGAGAGGAAACAGCCAGGCTGTACTCTGTGTTCACACACTGCTTGTGGAAGGATTAGCAAACCCTTCATTTACTTCTCAGCTTATACTAGCAGAATTGCTACTAGGTAAACCTTCATTACAGGACTGACTTTTGGCCAGAACGCTACTTCCTTCTCCAAACACACTGCTTACATGGGCAGTAACAACACTGTTGAGGCTTAATGTGACCATTATTCTTGGTTAACCTGATACAGAATTGCAATCTCAGAATCTAGATTGTTATTAAAGGTTATCTTTTCCTTATGGTTGCAGAGGTTTTTTCACAACTTACTAATGGAGATATAATTCTAAAAAGACCATAAACCATCCCATTCATTTAATAAGTTAGTAGCCAACCCTAATAATTTTAGATGTGGGGTTTTTTGACTCTTAACGTTTTCTCTGAAAGTGGCTGAAGTCCTTTATCACAATCAGGTAATAGGAGAGGCTTGGTTAAGGTAAAGTAGGAGACCCAAGTTTTATGACACCTCTAAACCAATTCAGTGGTCAGCTGCCAGCAAAAGCAGTGGCCTCCTTTTCCCTCGTCATGGATGCTCATCTCACCTCACAGTAGAAAACTGCCATTGTCAGGATTATTTGAGATAGGAAATAAATTTCTCTTTATAATGTATAATGTATAGTTCTTGCACTGCCAAAAATCTATAAATCACTTCCAACATCAAATGCTCAAACTCCTCCTTCAGTGCTGAATTCAGCTATTCCCTGGATATATCACTGCCAATCTCAAGCTCTCATGGTGGCTTCAACAACTGAATTTGTTTCCATTATAAAAATGTATAGTGTGTTGGAGTTTTTGTAATCTATAGCTACAACACAAAATGAGCCTGAGACAATGTCAAGGCACACAACCATGACATGGTTAAACTCATGATATGAACACACTGATCCTGGAAAGAACTTCCAGGGTCTTGTATGGATTCATCCCCCCTCCACACATGCATACCTTTCAGACCTTAAGTGAAACATAAAGCACAAATCTCAAAAAGCAGAGAATTTTAGACTAGATTTGGGATAGTTTTTACCTCGATGCTGCTAAATTACTCAGCTTTTGATTAGTAAGAAAAATATTCTTGTCATGTTATGGTGGAAGAAGTCCTTTAATGCTTTCATGGGACTCACTTGCCTATCACTGTAGGAAGATGCAGTTCTGACAGTACTACCATTCCTTCTCCATAGACTACATTTTTAAGTGAATCCTATGCTGAATCAACCAAACCACAGCTTTACTTTCCTTTATCTAAAGGAAGAGGGGACAAAGATACAGGCCTCCTTTGCAAGGCACATGATTACTCTTAACACAAATTTTATCTCATGTTCAGGATTTCTGGTAATGTCAGCCATGAAAGCAAAGAAAAAAGGCAAGTATCTGTGAGGGTGTATCCTCTCCCCAGCAAAACCTGCCAAATATTCGGAGTTTAAATCACCAACCGGCCTAAAAGCATTGGAAGGCACATAGCCTAAGTGCTTATAAGTGTAAAGAAAAGTGTGCTTGGAACATGATGTTTTGATTCAGACATCAGCTTTTGTTCTGCTTGCCTCCTCCTAAATCTGTAAGTTCACCTGAAACAATATGCAGAGAAGTCTCTTCAGTCACAATTTTCCATTAGCTGCCTCACACCTCTTTAAGATCTTCCCTTCTTGCTTTGGTATAAGTTACCAGAACGTATCAGTCACAACCTCACATTTATGCATTCTAATAAATTCAAATCTATTTTAAAAAAAACCAAAACAATTTGGATGGATAAACTAGGTTAACACAAGCAGACAGATTTACATATAACACAGAGTCTGTGTGTCAGAACGGGAATTAGAAATCCACATATCCTCCCTTCCTTGGCTACTGGATCTACTTTATGAATCCAGACACAAGAGAGAGACCATTAAGGTGGGACTGCATAAAAGCAAACACGTGGAGGATCTAATTGAAGAGACAAACATGCAAAGGGAAAAGATACGTTTTTTAGATGGCTGCCAGTTGTTATGATCTGGCAGAACGTGGCTGCTCGCTGCCAGTACATCTAACAGCCGGCTCAACAGAAGTCACTTGTGAACAAACTCTTTAGAACAAAACCAATTTTAACATAACAGACATTGCCATATGCTTACTTTTAGCAACTATGCTATAGTAAGGCCAGAACTGACTATGAACTCACAATTCTCTCCTATCAGAAAATATTTTTCCCTGGGCACGACAGCAAATCTGTCTTTAGGTTTAAGCTACAGCGTGCAGAGACAGACCTGGTGCAAGAGAGGAGAGCAATGGGTACTGTCTGCCTGTCTGTCCTGACACAGTGAGGCTTTGACACTGCCTCCTCAAGACCCTCCCAGAGAAGCTGATGAAGTAAGTCTGAGCCTGATGAGGAGACTGAGGTGGACTGAAAACTGACTGGCTGGGCCAGGAGGGTGCAGCAGCACACGCTGGGGGCTCAGCGGCTGCAAAGCAGTTTGGCAGAAAAGGACACCAAGTTGAGCATGATACAGCCATGTGCCCTAGGACGAAGAAGGGTAAGGAAGGCATCCTTGGCTGCAGTAGCTCCCAGCAGATCATGGGAGGTGATCCTACTCTGCTCAGCCCTGGTGAGGCCACCCCTGGAGTGCTGGCTCAAGCTCTGAGGTCCCCAGTACAGGAGAGCCATGGCCATAATACAGAGCTTATCCATCTAAAAACCTGAAGGAAAGGTACAAAGGTACAAAGAGCACAGAGCCAGACTCCATCTATGGAGATATTCAAAAGCCATCTGAACACAGTCCTAGGCAACTGGCTCTAGGGGAACCTGCTTGAGCAGGGGGGCTGGGGAAGGCAACATTCCAGCTTCAACCATTCTGTGAGAGATGTGTAACCACCCTTTTTCCAGAGACTTGTTTGTCTGTTCATAAATAGGTAACCTCAGAGTAAAATCAAAGCAAATTCTAACATGGCAAACCTCATACTGGGGAAATGCTCATATTTTTAATATTCTCCTAAGAATCACTCACTTCTAATTTCATTCTTAATATTTTGAGTCTATCATGCACTGTATATTATTCTTTGCTGGCCCATCTTTTCTGTCTCTTGGACTTACTACCCAGCCACTGCCACCATTTATAGGCTCCATGACCTAGAATGCAGTAGTTTTCTCACCCTACATACAATTTCAGAGTTGAAACTGTTTATCTGCTTCCTCAGCTTCACTGTTCAGTACAGAGTTGAAGTGCTATTACCCAAGCCACATGAAATAATCTGGCATTATGCTCTTATCATTCCTTCTTTTTGAGAGCCCTAGGTTTAATAAAAAAGTTCAGTGAGTTAATTAAAGTCACTGATCTATCAGAAAAGTGAGGGGGTTTTAATGGCTTTGTTTTCAAAAGTGAATTAAGACTCCTCACAAGAAAGTCCAGTTGTCCAAGCTAGCTGGGGCTAAGCAGCAGGTGCACTGAGCTGCTACTGCTGCTACAAAAGAGGAGTGAAGGAAAGTACAACCCCTTCCCCTCCCTTCCACTGCTCACAACAAATCATTGGGACAAATAATTTAAACTGTTTTGTGTTATTTCACCCTTGAGACAAGCTTCTTAATTTTTGTTTCAATTTAGTTTCTTTATTTTAGTTTACCATAAAGATATTGGGTCCCAAGAGACAGAGCTGCCACATTTCTGTTTGGAATATCTTGAAGATAAACATACAGGCATGTGCTGCGTATAGACAGCCAGAGCATGTGAAATAAAATCAACACTCTGTGGGCACATCAGGATTACTCTTTGTACTACAAGCACACTAGACACTTAATTAGCACAAGTACAACAGTTTCATGATATGTCAGATTTATTATGATTATGCTGCAGAAATGTTTGGGATTTCTGAATGTCTTCTTCCCTCTCGGTTAGTGGAGTGAAGTTGCAGCAGGGCAGCCAGACATCTGGAAATTCTGCAGAAGTGTTAGAAGAACCCTCATGGTCCAGGATGGGGGAGGAGGCAGAAGGAAAAAGTGGGCAGTCTGGGAAAATAAGACATACACAAGAAGCAGTATCTGCTATTAAATCAACCCCCTGGAAATTAGGTTCCCACCACAATTTAGGCCCCTGGCTCTCCAAAACCAACTGCTGTTACAGGAATAAAACTACACACAGCCAGCCTCCTGATACAAGTTAGAAAGAAGTACTCAAGTACTTGACAATGCCAGAATTATGATCTTAGGACATTTTTCTCCACTAAGTCCTCCCACACTTTTCTGTTTTCTGCTCCCAGTTCTTCTCTCTTCTTTCCCTAAATCAGTTACTCACCATTTTTCACTAAAGAAATTATTTTCCCCCCTGCTAACTCTCCAAATTAGATGCTACTCAAAATTCTAAATCAAGCTCTGCAATCTCCTGTCCCAATTAAATCAAAGGAAAGAGCAGCTCACATAAATAACATTTGCAAGATCCAGTTTTAGCTTCTAGATTTTGCAGCAAAGTTTCCAGTCCTGCTTCAGGGCCAGAAGGTTAAACATTTCTCAATGACGCAGGCTCCCTTAGCAAGAGAGAGATGAGGAAGGGGTCCAAAAAAACCTCATTCTTCCCAGGCACTAAATCAACAACCACAGCAAACAGTGACTGCCTCTCTCCAAGGAAAGCTGGGAGGAGTGGAGCAGTCTCTTATTATATGCAGCCACTTTGTCTGTCACCATAATGCAAAAGCCCAGTACAAAGAGAAGAAGAAAAATAATCATAAGAACAACAAATTTTTTAAAATCCCAGAATGGAGATTGTATGTTGTGCACTATATAGAAATCATAATAAACTAAACAGCAAACAAATGTTAAATTCTGTAGAGCACTGCAAGTCTGTTTCAAATTGCTGTTCTTTTCTGGACCATTTAAAGTTGCCAATAACTTTCTAGCTTTAACTTAAAAGATGCTTTGACTGTTAGATGGGCTGAAATTTTCCTGCCTTAGAGACCACTTTTCATACATATTCCAGACTCTCATTAATCTCTCAATTTTCAAGGTAAGATTAGCAACAGTGGTTTTTCCAAAAGGAGTCTACTAATCTGGATCTTGTTCTTACTTATTCAGAGGTAACATGAAATCAGCAAAGGTATACTGAAACGTTTTCTTTTTATTTCAGTTTTTAGTGAAAGAACATTGAAGACTCTAAGCTCAGGGAATGTTTTGCAGTAAGTCAAGCTCAAGGTACTTTCTGAAGCAAATGTTTTTCAAGTTGCAATTTCTCATCAGTGGTACCTCAGTGTCACATAGTAACTTTAATAAATCAAAAACACTCAATATATTTTTAAAAGGCATATATTTGAGTTGACATCAGTGAACACAAAGTCCAAATCTCAAATACTGAAAAACACAGACAAGGAACAAGAGCTTCAACCAGAGTATCTCCAGCAAAATTAAAAAAAAAAAAAAAAAAAAAAAAAAGAAAGCAAAACACTCTTCAAGGTCACTTGTGATTACAGACTGATCAAGCCTGCTTGTGCTTCACTGGAAGCTGCAGCTTCTTTATTTGGAATATACTCTTTTTTGAGGAAAAACAAGCAGGGCAAAGAAAATGGAAGACAAAAAAGAACTACAAATACATTTCTCAACCTACTTTTCTCACGGGTTAATTAAATAGGTTCATATCCTGTTGGGGATCCAATGCTGTGCATAATGCCTGGGAAGCATCATTAACACTACATAGAAGATCTGATTTAAAATAAGCATCACTACAGAAAGATACAAAAAAAAAACATTAAGCAGGTCACATTAGCAGATACTATTTTAGCACTTGCCTACTTTAAGAATATTTTAAGTAGATGGAGCTTCTTCTAGGGAGAATATTTTGCCTGCACTAAGGTTTGCATCAGTTAAACTACGAGGAGTTATTTGCACTGAAACCCACCGACACATTTAATATTGAAAATAAGAAGACTTAACCAAAGAGAGAAATTCTAGGACAGCTGTCCAACATGAGTGTGAAATCTAACACTTTTTAAAGTAGTGCTCAATAACTTTTTGTAGAGGACTATATGACAGGATTACTTGCAGCAGCAGAGGAGGGGGCTCCGCAGCCCTGAAGAGTAATTCCAGTTCCATCGCTTCTTGACTCTTACCTACCTAAACTATTGCTACATTAGACAGCATTCTTAAACCACACTAAGGTTAATCACAAAAGGGAGCTGTGCCAATGTAATTAAACCAGTTTTCTATATTGATTTTGATAGCAAAATTCTCCTGACAAAGAAATTGAGGGGAAAGGGGGTCAATATTTCTTCTATTAAGGCAAAGATTCTGGTTTCGCCCCCATAAAGCAGGGCTCTTGTTTCCTTAGCCACAAATGAAAAACCAGACCAACTCACGACAAGCAGCTGAGGTCTCTGCATTTAAAAAGACAATTTGGAAGAAACGCCAGTCTCTCCTTGGAAGAGCCCTAAGGTCAGAACAGCAGAGGGTGCTGTAAGTCTGAACCGAGGTGCGGCAGCTCCGCAGCAAGGAGAATCCAGATGCAACATGAAGCTGTAGATTACTTCAGATTTTGGGGTGGGATTTTTGTCGGGGTTTTTTTTGTTTGGTTTTGGAAGCATTTTTGTGGTGCAGGAGTCATTTGAGACTGGTAAAAGCAGACAGCAAACAGGTTACTACAAAAATTTATTTACAGTAGCTTCCACATAACATCAAACAATAACATCAGAGACATTCCCAAAACCTCAAGACTTACCTATAATCCCTATCACTGATCTATACAGCTCTGGGCACACATTAGAACATTAGGGATTGATTTACATTGATGCTTAGACACAAAAAAATTGTTCTTTAATGTCTACAATCAAAATGTAGACTTGGATCCCATTATTTTAAAAAATCCTGATTATAAACACTAATGCAAATTTCTGCTATCACACAGGCATGGAAACTTGAGCACTTTGTTAAACATTAGTCATCTCTAAAATCTGGCAAACACTGGATAGCAAGGAATCACCAGGTAACTGGGAGACAGAACGGATGTGTGTCTGCAGTGCATCCCTTTGGGCAAAGAATGTGCTGTAATCATCATACCAGTTCAGAGACTCAGCACAGCACACGCTCAGATATTAATCCAGAGCCTAAATCAGTGGCAGGCCACGAAGATGACTATGATCTGCCTGAGCCACAAAAAGAAAAATTATCAATCTGAGCCTAGATACAAAATCAATAATAATTCCTGTACAAGTGTGCCTAAAGACCCCAAATAAGAACCTAATTAAAGTAATCCTCTTTCACTTCTTTCTTCCAATGCATTTGAACTATGTTCCTAAAGAAAAGTTGATTCATATTCATCATGTGAGTGGGTAACTCAAAGAGTATGATGACAACAACTAAACAAGACCCATTATACATAATACACTAATTTCACAGAAAGGAAGACTCTGTTTTGATTGCAGTTACAACATATAAAACCTGACATGACTTTACATGCATTTTAAACATTTGTTTTGTTTTTAATAACAAAAGTGAATGATACCAAAAATTGCAGTATGATGATGACAGTCTTACTGTGTACACTGGAAACTGGTTAAAATGCACACACACACACCCCTAAAGTTAATTTTCAGAAGCTGGATTTTAAAGTAAGCTGAAGCCATAAGAAGGGTTATGAGACAAAGCAGTCAGTGAATAATCATTTTGTGTCTACCACGTCTTTACTGTTTTAGAACAAGTGCAGCCTGTCTGTGTCCCCCTGCAAGTTAATCTTACTTCACAGAAGGGATAAGGGCAAAAAGCTGCCTGAATGGTTGTTTTCCTACTCTCTCTTTTTTAACCTGTAGGGTAACCCTTGCCATATAAAAAGAATAAACAGAGTATTCTCAAAGCAGATGGAGAAAAAAAAATTATTTTCAAAAGATGATTTAATGCTTCAACAAATACTTACTACAGGGTTAAAGAGAGTTCCAGGAGTTTCTTGTTAAGTTTAAGGTTGTCAGTAGAAATAGGTACTGCTCAACTAAATTATTTTAATGAGTACTCTTTATTGTATACTGTCATTCTTGACACAAAAAAAATAGAAAAAAGAAAAGCATCCTTTATATATTTCGTTTCAGTACAATCCTTTAACTCTGCTTTGGCTAACACAATCACACTGTGATTTGCTTACTCAATAGTTAATCACAGGGATAAAAGGTAGCAAAAGGTTATGTTCAGATCTTTCATGAATGGAATAACTCACTAATGTGCAGCTTACAGCTGTGCACTCCTCTCTCCACGTCTTATAACAGCCAACCCAGAACTTTGTGCAGTTTGTAGCTCCAGCACAAAAATTTCCATATTTAAAGCTGACTTCAGGAACATCCCATTTGCTGCTTCGGAAAGAATTCCCACTGCATGATGACGATGAGGCTCACATAGCTTTGTTCAGTCTTTGAATCACATGCAGGATTCTGGTTAAAAGCCAGTGAAGAGTCATTTTATCACTACTCAGAATATACACACCCAGGGAGCTGCACCAGTAACCGGGGAACTCTTTACACTTCCCAGGAACTTTCTACCTAGATACAAAAGGTTACATTTCCAAATGCCATCGATGCCAAACAGAAATCAAAAGTTCTATTTTTAAAGTAGTGATGATGCAAACTATAGAGCCAGGAATGTTCTCCCCTCAGCTCCACCCTCCACCCAAAACCTAAATCCCAACTGTGTTGATTCAAGAGCTCATTGCAATCTTGAAATTCCAAGTTGGAGGGAGGGAGGGAGGGAGGAAGAAAAGAGAAGAAAAATAAAAGTTCTACTATTCAAACAAAATGAAATGCAAAAAACTTCACAACTACAAAAACCTCTCATTAGAAAATGGAAACAACAGCAAGGAAAAAAAAATCCATGTAACTGATGCTTGAAAAAGACAAGATGAAGTTAGAAAGCATTTTACTGCATCAAGGAAAGGTCATTCCTCATGTACTAAAAGCCAATACTGAATTTCAAATCTATTTAAAACAGGAATGAGAACACCAACAACAAACTGCAGCTCTGACATTTGCCACTCCTGAAAGAGCTGAGGAGGGGGATATATCCCTTCTAAGAATACACAGATATGCTGTCTGTCCCCTTTCTTCCCTTTAAAAGCAGTTTAGCAGCTGACATCCCTAAAGCACTTAAATCCTGTAAAGAGGGAAGAAAAAGAGCCTGGAAGTTGTGTTTTGAAAGAAAGAATTAAGGGATCAGCACTGATTTTTTTCTAAATTGAATTTAATATATCCCTAATCTGCTAAAGTAGCTCAAAAATCCAACTTTTCCCCAGAAAATGAGGGAAGTTTTGCATTTGATTCAAAATAACACTAATTTTTAGCTGAAAGAATTATTCCTTTTTCAGAACCAGCTGGATACAAAGTAAATTAGACCACAGAAGTCAAGTTTTATCCACTACAGAGAACTAAATTATTTCTGTGCTCATTTACAGTGCTGACTTCAAAACAGCTCTTCTTTTGTTCTCTCAGCATGCATGGAAAAAAACCCTCTTGTTCATCTAAACCAAACTTCTGACAGTTTAGAACCACCTGCTTCTGGGTCTGCATACCTGTCTTCATATCTAATAGACTTTAAGATTTTTTTTCAGCAGGTCAACAAAACAAACATATCAAAACCCAAAGATGCTATTCAATAGACTACCCTACACTGAACAATCTTAATTTTTTTCAGTATACTCACAGAAAGAAGATTGAAATGGGACAATTGTTAACATTCAATATATACCAAGACACTGCAAACAACATTATTGTGCACTGAAACAAACCAAAGCTACCCAGAACAGTAAACAAAGGTTTTAAGTAGAGCAAAACCATAAGGAAATAGAATTCATTAACAGAAGTAGCCATTTGTCCAAGTGCTAACATCCATTAATTCTGGCAATGCACTGTTAGACTCCACATGACCCTAAGAGGCCATAACTCTTCTCCATCCATGCAAAACGTTGGCAAAAAACAACCTGAAATTTAGGGTTTCTCTCCAGCTGGTTGCACCTCTGTATGTGTACTACATGCACACCTCTGCCCAGCCACCTGCTAGAAGCCATAAAAAGGAAATTGTGACAAAACGAAATAAATTAAAAAGAAAGTGAAAGTATATTTGAAAGTTTGTATTTGTTATTTAAACACAGAACCTGCATATAGAGGCACACCCAAGACTCCTGAGGTTTCCCCCAGTTGCATGAGTCCCTCATATGGCTGTTCAAAAATATTTAAGTGTTATTAAATTGTAGATTGTGTCCAAAATAAAGTATGCTTCTAGCACTCTTGCCTCTCCATTAAAAAAAAAAAGGAAAAGAAAACATAATATTCATTGCTCATTCCTTTAGTGGCCAGTCTGTTACAAAGCCAAATAACAACAAAAACTATTTAGTCCATATCCTGACTGAAAAGTGACCAACGGCAAAAGAATTTGCAAGATCCCTATATGGGATAATTAGATAATGAAACAAATAACAAAAAGGTTTCAGGGGAACAAAAAAAGAGGCTACATGGGGAGATTAGGTTGAAGTATATAATGGGAAGGAAACAGCAAGCTTTTGGAATCAGCAAATAAATATAAAGAAAACAAATGATTCAGATGCTGAAAGAGTCAAGGCAGCAAAAAAGACCAAGTGATTCTTGGAGAAAAAAAACACTAAAGAGAGAGTTCCCACTGCTAAGAGCTTGGTACAGATCACACATCAGCTTCATTGTCAGCAGAATGAAAACACACAAACTGGCACAGGGCTGGTTCCAAAACTACACACTTGAAACTGGATGAGGAATTTCACCCCACTGTGTATGTCTGCTTTTTGAATGATTGGATCAGTAACACCAGTTCTTTAAAGAAGTTTAGTAGTCCAATGAGATGTCAAATAGAGTTGTTACATTTTTGGTCTTATTTTTGCTTTTTTTTTTTTTTTTTTCCCCTGGGTCTACTGCTTTTTTGGAATGTCTTTTCACCTTGATTTTCACTTTTACTTTTTCCTTCCTCCGCTGTCACCACCTGCATTGGTTTTCTTACTCCTCTTTTTTTTCAGTTTGACAGGCATTTTTAACTTTTCTCTGGTTAATACAATATGCACCTCACTGTTCATATTATTCTTGCTTCAGTTATTCTTTGTTCTGAAGAAACAGTCTCTCTCTGCTTAAGCTATTCTGCTCCCAGAAGAGTAAAGTTGTAATGTCGCCCTCAGTTCTTTCTCCAAAACGTTAAGAATGTTTTCTCATCTTTAGCATCAAAGGAGCTTCTTTTCACATGGAATGCCCACCAACATGGAATACAGACACTATGTCCTGGGTCAGCAACAGCTTCAGCTACTCCTGCTTCTTGAGTGGACTCCCATCAATACCAAGCAGTAAATAAGCACTCATGACCTGTGGTCTTGAAGAACTTTTGGTCTATGGAGTGCAAGCTGTGTAAACTCTACCAGGATCATTTATTTACCCAGCTTAGGCCATGATTCTCCTATTTCTTCAGTGGATGTTTGGAAACTTTGAGGAGTTGACTGGGACAACTGTTTCCATTTTCCATTTTTCCAGTAGGGCTTCTGGAGATGAACATCAGGATGAAGAAGATTTGAGAAGTTAAGTCTTTCCTCAGCTAAGTCATTTTCCTCATTCTAGCTCTCAAAAGACAGGAGATCCAATTTCAGCCTCTGAAGTCTCAAATAGTTTGCCCAACACACAACTACCTCGCTAAGCCAAACAAGAGCAGAGACCAACATCATCTGAAGTCCCTAAGTATTACAAATGAACAAATTGGCCTCGTCATCAAGTAGCTGTTTTCCTTATCTAGAAACTTGTAATACACTTCCATTATTCAAGACAAATTTTTTAAACTTATAATGTTCCTGTTGTCACACTCCATTTCCCCACCAATCTTGTGAATCCATTTATGTAAACATTCGCCTACTTCTTGCTTAAGGTTTTTCCAGCAGTGGTTGATCCAGAAGAGGAGAGAGTGGCTGCTGATGGAAGAGGCGCAATAAATCTGTATCCCTCATTAAGGTAAACTAAGCTTGCCAGGAAATTGCCTCAACATTACAGAACGCCCCTGCATAATCTAGGACTAGGGTTAGGGGACTTAAGCAAAAGCCCCATACAAGTACTCTTTAGTGGGAGAAACTCTCACCCTCAGAATTAAATGAAAGCCTCAGGAGTTACCATAATTTGGAAGAGACAAGAAACACAACCACACAGTTTTGACAAAAAGCAATACTAATATGAAGGCAGTTTTCCTAATTTTAACAAATGTTCCTTAATTATGTCATCTTCCCGAGAATATAATGCACAAATTCAATTACAAGAACCCTGAAATATACATTTCATGGCTGTTCTTTGTTGGTGGCGGGGGGAGGGTGAATTAAAAACCTTATTAGAAATAAAGCATGTTAAAGTCAACATCTTTTTTCAGGCCTTCACATAAGAGCTTTCTTCCCCACAAAGCCAGGTAAGATACTATCCAGCCCTATGCATTCTCTTCAATACCAAACACCTTGTTAGTGTCTACACCCTACCTCCAAAGTCACAGACTGCAAGAGTCCAGCTAGAGGGATGATGTATTATGTACAAACCCTCTTCTAAACTGAGACAAACACTACATAAGATCTAGGCCTGTCTTTCCTATCTACAACAGGAGATACAAAAAACCATACTTTGGTTCTCTAAACAACAAAGAATATGTCAGGACTATAAAATAAAGGTCAAACATCTGAATCTTTATAGACATAAAAAACCTTCAGAGATATTTTAAAAATACACGAAATTAAGTTAGGGAAACTAACATGGTCAATTCAGGAAAAGAAACCTAAAAAAACAAAACAAACCGAAAATAACCAAACAAAATCCAGCAATTTTGGGGGGGGGAAATAAACTAAGAAATTATTGTTTTATGTGTCTCTTTCCCAGTCACTACTTAAGGAAATGAAAAAGCATTTGACTTTCAGGAACAAGTTTGTCTTCACACTTGTGGCATTACCTATGTGCTGCTTTTCAGACAAGGCTGCCCAAGAGATTAAGAGTACACAAACCCCAACTCCTAGGCTACTACAAGCTTGTGGTCAAATCTTACCAAGGTTACAGTCTCTGTTCCCATCCACAGAGCAAAGGCCATTCATATCTATATATATATATATATATTTATTTTCATGACTACATCATGTCCTAGAGCCTCAGATAAAAACACCCTACAGAAGTATCTCATGCTCCTATTGATAGATAATTCTCATTCTAGCATGGCTAACATGTGAGAAATGGAACCCTGTACCTATCTAAGGGGTAAGCACAGTATCACCAGAAGGCCCCAGTACTTACCAATGAATCATGTAAACAAAAACCACTGCCATTCTCAAGGAAACAGACTTTCAAGACATAAAACAAATATTGGAAAGTTTCTAATACAAGTTTTTCCTAAACTACACAATTTTAAATCTCTCCAAAGTAACAAGAATATGTTTAATCAGAAAAATAATTAACAGTAAAAACACATAAATCAGTGAAAAGCTAAGTGGAG